CCTTTCCTTCTTGCCTATTTGTACTCTTCGCTCTATAGTGAAACCCCTCACTTTCTCTCTCAACTTTCTCGACTTACCAAAACTCACTCGAACTCAACTAGCTATGGCTCCTTAGCCAAGCTAAGACTTTGATATGGTACAGAGCACGTAACGCTCCTGGACCCCTGCTTCCGCTGCTACTAAGTGTTCTGCACGCCCCGTGGTGTGCCCTTCTTAAGCGGCCCCGCCGCCCTACTGTCGCGGCCCCGCCGCCCTGCTTTTTTTTTCGGCCCCGCCGCCCTACTGTCGCGGCCCTGCCGCCCTACTATCGCGGCCCTGCTGCTCTACTGTCGCGGCCCCGCCGCCCTTCTTAAGCGGCCCCGTCGCCCTACTGTCGCGGCCTCGCCGCCTCTCTGCTGTCGCGGCCCCGCCGCCCTCCTGTCGCGGCCTCGGCGCCCTGCTTTAGCGGCCTTGCCGCACGTCCCGGCCCGTTGCCGCCCGTACGACGCGCCGCCGTCCGCTGCGGCCCCGTCGCCGCCCGTACCGGCCCGTCGCCGCCCGTGCGGTACCCGCCACAGGCCCCGATGCCACCTACGGCCCCGCCCTCTTGCGGCCCCGACCCCGCCCCGGGCATGCCCTGTCGCCAGCGGCGGCATACCGGGGGCACGTGCACCGCCCCCCCCCATTTTCCCGTCACACGTCGCGGCTCCTTCGGGGGCCGCACGCGGCCCCCTCAGGTCGCCTCGACAGGTGACGGGAGGGGCGACCTGGAAGGGGGGGGCAGGCGTCGCCCCCTCTGCCGCCTGCTTTGGCGCCCGGGGAGGCCGTGTGTCGGCCCCCCCCCTCCCTCCCCCCCCTCTTCTCCTCCTCCTGTTGTTCCCTCTGCTGCAGCTGCCGCTGGGGGGGAGGGTGTGAGAGTGTGGGGGAGCCCGGGGAGGGACTGGGGGTGGCGGGTGTGGGGGTGATGGGTGATGTCTGGTCCCCTGGCCCTACGGCCCCATTCTCCTCCGTTTGCCCCCCCCCCCCTCCCCCTCCTCTGCTGCTCCTGCAGCAGTGTGAGGGGGATGGGGAGGGGGAGGGGGAGGGTGAGGGGACCAGAGCCTACCACCTCCTCTCCTCTCTTTCCCTCTCTCTCTCCTCTCTCCCTTCTGTTTTCTGGTTTCTGCACTGGTTGTCACTGCTCCTGCATACTGCTGCTACTTCAACTGCACTCTGCTTGGTGTACCCCATTATGGGGGCGTTGACTGCATATTCTTCCCTACAGGCACTTATGGGGGCGTGTCAAGAATAATATATATTTCTATATATTGTTTTGTAACTGCCTGTAGTGTAGACTACTGTAGTTATATAATGTTCTGTTTGGTGGTGCACCTTTCCTTCTTGCCTATTTGTACTCTTCGCTCTATAGTGAAACCCCTCACTTTCTCTCTCAACTTTCTCGACTTACCAAAACTCACTCGAACTCAACTAGCTATGGCTCCTTAGCCAAGCTAAGACTTTGATATTAGCCTGGTGATGGTGTTTGGAATGGAGCCGGTCAAGCTATTTAGATCGAGATCTCTGTGTGAGAATAGTGGGGATGGTCGGAGGGACAGCACGCATACATGCACAAGTGACCCACAGGAATGACGAGGCAAGCATGGTGTTACGCATTGTTATGTGCATAGGGGAAAAGGAGCTACGGTGGAGGAATTGCATCAACAAGCAGTGCCTATGGGGGGGAGCATGGGAACACTCCTCCCCAAATGCGATTTTTTTCTTTTCAAAATGTGGGTCCTCGACAACAGCCAACTTCAAGCAACTCACAGCTCGATCAAATTGGTGAGGCTTCCAATCTCATCGGGAATAGGCCTGGAAAACTGATTGAACGCTAAGTCTCTGGCACAAGGGTGAATTGGACATAACAAATGCCCGGTCTCATGCAGAATGCAGTGAGAGAAATGAAGTAGGATTGGTTAGTCCAACCAAATAGAGAAATCAAAAGTGGGATGAACAGAAAGATGCACATTGCGTAACGGGTGGAAGGTGGAAAGAGAGCACTAGATACACAAGGATGATGGGCAAACGTGAGAGCAATGATACATGATTACGACCGAAGCACAGCACCACATACACTGCAACACCCTTCTCTTCCTGAAAGGCCACCATATTCGAGCTAACCATATGCTTGCCTTCCGGCATCACCCAATCTCATCTTACAGGTACTTCAATGAAGAGAGGTTTCCAATCCCAGCAGGAATGGGCCCTCCGATCCCACAATCTGTCAGAGATCTGGTTTCATGGGGTGAAAAGTGGTTATGCGTTGCATGCTCTTGTACGGAACAGTAAACACAGTGGTATAACCTTGTATCAAATGGAAGATAATGCGTGTAGCAAATGCTTGCTAAAGAGTACAAACGCACACTTCCACCTCGTAGTGCTGCAAGAGTGTGGGAGGCGAAACAAGGTGCAACGAATAAGGCGTGTCACCATCGCATTGCCACTGCCTCTGCTGCATTTCCAGCAGTTGTCATATACAAATGTGCCATTTACCTCCACTACCAAGCTTCCTTTGCCAAGGCCTTAACTGGATTTAACACTAAGGGTTGACGTCCAGTGTCAAAACGGTATGAATTCACCCTAGACGTTGGAATAGGGTTGAGCAAGAATTCGAGGCAAACCGAACAGGTTTATCTAGTGTTCGTGACAAACGTGTTCGAGGTTCGCCCAAACACGTTCGCGTTCGGGCCACTGCTACAGGCCGCCCCGGCTGAAGAGGGAATGGGGGAAGAGGGAACAGGAGGGAAAGGGTGCAATAGGGCAGAAGGGTAAATGCCAGGCTAAATGCCAGGTAATTATCCATGCGCCGGACTGCACGGATCAGTGGTCAATATGTGCCCCACGCAGCGATTGAAGTCATCGATCTGCAACCATGGCCGGTTGATTCGCGCCCGATTTGCACAGATTGGTGGTCGAAATCGTGGATCTGCATGGATCGGTGGGCAAAGTCACCAATCCTCGCAGATATTATGCAATTAATGGGACAACGACCCGATACACTATCCGGCCGACCGGACCCGCCCTCGGTCACAGCTGGTCCGACCCAAGTCTAGCCCGGGTCGGGTCGACTCACCAAAGGTCCTGACACAAGGACAAGTCGACCAGACCCGACTCGTCATACCCACCCCAAGGTCCGCCTGGATTGGGACGGGTTGGGACGAATCGACCCGTGTTGCTCATGCTGGTGTAGCCCGGCCGTCCTGGCGGGCCATCGGTAGAAGCCGGACCCTCCTGGCGGGCCATCGGTAGAAGCCGGACCCTCCTGGCGGGCCATCGGTAGAAGCCGGACCCTCCTGGCGGGCCATCGGTAGAAGCCGGACCCTCCTGGCGGGCACGACTCTCTCTTTTTGTAGTTGGGCCTGGCCAGGCCAATCTCTGGACCGGGGAAGACCGGGTTGGAATATACGAGTTGAGCTTATGCTAAGCGTGTGTATTTACGCTAGCTTGCATGTGCTATACAGTTAGAGCCGGAATTCAGGATATGCATTTCCGAGCAGTAAGAACCTTTTTCTCAGGCAGGGAAAACGTTTTCGCAGGGGTGGTTTAAGGATGTTGAAAGCGGGATGATTTTCTGTGTGATTATTCATACACAGAAATGTGAAGGTAGTCCCTTTTCCGATTAGGCCCCCACGTGCGGACATTCGTGCTAGTGGGAGTTGTGGGGGATGGTGGAAACCAGATGAGCGCAAGAATGCAAGCTGTTGGGCTGGCTGGTAAGTAGCATGAGCTCTGTTGGGAGGTCATTTTGTGAATTCGTCTACACATAACTTCAAAGTTGTCATGAGCTTAAGGGCCCACCCCCTCCCAGCATTTTGGCCAGATTGTTTCTTTCACTTCTTCTGTTCGATAATAATAAGCGCTTCAATTTTAAAGATGTTGTGAGCAAAAGCACATTTCACAACATCTGTTGGTGCATCAGCAACGCGTTGAACACGAACGTGTTCGAGGTTCGCCCGAACACGCCTTCACATGCGAACACCGAACACCCTTTTTTGTTCGGTTCGCCAAACGGCCATGTTCGTGCAAGGGTTTGCAAACCTTACAAACCTTTTAACTAACAACATTTTTTATAAGTTGAATCAGTCGCAGCCATGTAAAGACATGGCTCCTATCTGGGGCTCCAACGGCCATGTTCGTGCAAGGGCGAACGAGATTGTCCTTTGCTCAAGCCTACGTCATCACAAAAATCCTGCATCCGGAAAACCGATGAAAAAAGTTGCTTTGGAGTTTTGTCGAATGATTCTTGAACGACGTTTTTCGAACGCTTTTTTGAGAAAGTATAGGTTGCTTTCCAAATGCTTTCTCGAACGCTTTTCAAATGCTTCTCCAATGCTTTTCTGTTCAAACCTGCCAGGTGAACACCTTCGGAAGAAGTTTGGTACAAGTTTCCGCAGAGCAATTTCGAAGATCGGATCTCATTGCAATGTACTCTTTATGGAATTTCGGGCTCATTAAAATAAGCTTATGTAGGAGACTTGCACGACCTTATATGTAATTTAAAACTATGTTAAGTTGCCTCAATCTTGCATTCAAAATGAACAGTACAGAAGCTTTGGTTAAAGCTGATAATTCCACCCTAAAAACGCACATAAAACAACATCCTAAACCCTCTGTGCCTAGTCAGTTAGGTTGAGCTGCATCATCCTACGACCTGCTTAGCATGCTCCAGTACACTATGTCTTCCACCGAACCCCATCTCTGGTGCTCTAGGTCGAGCGTGCCCCTGTGTCCACTGCTTCATTGCATGCTCTGCCCTCTCATGCGTCTGCTGCTCCGCCCCTGGTGCTCCCCAGTCATGCCTTTACTGCTGCTTGCTCCAGTCATGCCTAACCTGCTGCCCCCCTTGTGCACTCCCCTCTATCTGCTCGTGCCTTTTCTGCTGCCCCCCCAACTCTCTCAACTCATGCCTTTTCTGCTGCACCCTCTTGCACTATCTGGTTGCCTTGCTGGTTGCCCACCCTTGGACACTCCTCACAATGTCTCTACTGCTGCCCCCCTTGCTGACTAAACGCTTTTGCCGCCCGTGCTACCCCCCATGCTGACTCTACTTTCTTGCCTGGCGTGCTGCCCCCCTTGCTGTCTCCACCAATGCCTCTACCTCCGTTTTGATGTCTCCTCGCAAGTGTGTGATGCCTATCCTGCTGCCCCCCCCTTGTAAACTCCACTCATGCCTCATCTGCTGCCCCCCTTGTTTAGTCGCCCCATCGCTTGACCCTCTTGCCTCCCCGGCGTTTGCCACTCTTGTGTCTTTTGCCCCTCCTTCGCTCCTGGCCCCCCCCCTTCTCATCCTCATGCTCATCCTCTTCCTCCTCTTCCACTTCTTCCTCCTCTTCCTCTTCCCTCCTGCTTCCCTTGCCTCTGCCTCTTTTGTGCTTTCTGCCCTTCCTCCTCTGCTGCCCCCTATGATTTTCATCCTCCTGCTCCCCCTCCTCCTCCTCCCCACCCTCTTCCTCTTCCCCCCTGCCTCCCCTGAGTTTCCCTCTCTTCTGCCTTCTGCCCTTCCTAATCTCCCGCCCCCCCCGTTTCACATCCTCCTCCTCTTCCTCCTCCTCATCCTCTTGCTCATCCCTCTTGCCTCCCCTGCTTTTGCATCTCTTGTGCCTTTTGCTCTTCCTCCGCTCCTGCCCCCACTGTTCCTCCTCCTCCTCATCCTCCTCCTCCTCCTCCTCCTCCTCCTCCTCCTCCTCCTCCTCCTCCTCCTCCTCCTCCTCCTCCTCCTCCTCCTCCTCCTCCTCCTCCTCCTCCTCCTCCTCCTCATCCTCGTCATCCTCCTCGTCATCCGTCTTCAAGTCCTCCGCGTCGTACACCTCCTGCTCTTCCTCCTTCAAGTCCTTCTTCTCCTCGTCAGGCGCGGCCGTCCCCTTGAACGCCTCAAATCCTGACTCGTGAACATACAGGCCACGGTCGCCCCACTTGAAGCCCTGCACGACTGTGTTGTACACGGGGGTGTGGCGTGTGAAGTGGTCCTTGATAATCCACCGCACATTTCGGTGCAAACCCGTCATCCACTCGGTGTTCTTCCGGTGGGAGTTCGAGACGTTCCAGTCGGTCTTCTTAACCTTTGCCAAGCCCTGGTCAATCTGAAAAAGCGTAGCAAAGTATGGGAAAGAGGGGAAATAGAGACATATGTGGACACTCGCGTGTAGAGTTCACGGGCTGCGCAAATAGCCCCACATTCCAGTCTGGCGGGCAAGAATTGCAAGCAAAGCTAGAGCGAACTGACGGGAGAGCAATAATGCCTTACCACCATGATTGACCAGGCAATGTGGTAGGCTTTGACGCACACCCGGCGCCCGACACAGAGATTCCGAAATGCTTCCCGGACCGCATCTACAAACCGGCCGTTGGCAAACGGGAGCCCGTCTCTGCTGTTTCCCCACGAGCTGACCCGCTGATTCCCTCCTGCGCGCACGCAGGACAAGGCGGGGACGAAGATCATGCACGACATGGTTAGGGGTTGTCCAAAGGGTATGGACGAAGTGGAGGGCGGTATAGAATGAATGGAGGGTTGGCTGGAGGGCAGTAGAGCAGGGAAGGGCGGGAGAGAAGGGGAGGGCAGGAGAGAAGGGGAGGGCAGGGGAGAGGGGGAGGGCAGGAGAGACATGGAGGGCGGGAGAGAAGGGGAGGGCTGAAGAGAAATGGAGGGAGGGAGAGAACGGGATGGCGGGAGGGAAGGGGAGAGCTGTAGATTAAAGGGGGGGCGGGAGAAGGGGAGAGTGGGAGAAGAACCAACGTTAAGCTGTCATGCGGATGTGACTGCACATGCGCTACAAGCCTGGGCAAGGAGAGCAGGTATGTAGTTGCGTGCCACAGTGGGGATGCATTAGGGTAAGTTGTTCATCATCGTCACGAGGGGTGCACGAGCAGATGAAATGAATGGTGAAGTAAAACAGAAACATGCGTACTCACTCGGTTGGTATTTTCTCCACATCTTCTTCTTCTTCTTGGTGCCCATCCAGAGATCGGCTGCACGCAGGCCTTGCACCTTCTTGCCGAAAGTTACAAGCACTCTGCGCTTGAGGTGGAAGCCACGATCGTTCTTCCATGACGTCCAAGCGCGTTTGAAGCCGTCGACGATGTTTTTGTCTTCCATAGCCTCTCGCAGCTGCATCAGCTTAATTATGTGCGTCTCGCTGATAACGTGATACAAAACCTGAAGGCGCTGTTCGAGCGTTGGGTAGAAGTCTATGGCATCGTCTGGCCATTCTAGGCACATCCGGTCCCGCCCCACGGCGAAATGAAACTATGACGGACGGGTGGATTGGAAACGTAAAATTGAGTGATGCCTCCGAATGAAGGGCGGAATTCAGAGGTTGAGAGAGAGGGCTGTTGCCATCACTGCGCCGCATGGCTCCCATACCAACAACAGCACCATGAACATGGGCTCTCGCAGAGGGAGGGGAGGGATGGGAGAGAGGGTGCAGGGAGAGGAAGGATAGCTGCTATGGTGAGCTATCACTCCGCCGCATGACACCCACCCCACCACCAGCACCATGAACAGGAGCTCTGGTTGAGGTAGGGGAGCGATGGTAGAGTGAGAGGGGAGAGAGAGGGGATAAAATAGTCAGAGCGAAAGACGGAAGAGTAGGCAGAGTGAGAGGGCACCGTACGCCCAGCGCGAGGGCTCATGTTCTCCTCGTACGAGGAGTCTCAACTTCCACTGCAGCCACCCCCCTGCACGCTACGCCGCATGCCACACGCGTGACCAGCAGCACCTTTTACAGTGGCTCTGGACGAGGAGGGAGAGGGACGGGATAGAGAGGGGAGGGAGGAGCGGCGGACAGAAAGGGGGCCGCGTGGGGTTGACGGATATGGCTTCCTCTATTCCCTCCGCCGCATGACACCCACCACCCCCAGCACCAGGAACAGGGGCTCTCGTAGAGGGAGGGGAGGGATGGGAGAGAGAGGGAAGTGAGATGAAGGAAAACTGCTATGCTTAGCTATCCCTCCGCCGCATGACACCCACACCACCCCCAGCACCATCAACAGGGGCTCTCGCAAAGGGAGGGGAGGGATGGGAGAGAGAGGGAAGTGAGATGAAGGATAAATGCTATTCTTAGCTATCCCTCCGCCGCATGACACCCACACCACCACCAGCACCAGGAACAGGGGCTCTGGAAGAGCTAGGCGAGGGATGGGAGAGAGGGGGGAGGGATAGGAAGGATAACTGCTACAATGAGCTATCCTTGCGCCGCGTGCCACCCACACTAGCACCAGCACCATGAACAGGGGCTTTGGTTTAGGGTGGGAAGGGATGGGAGAGAGGGGCCAATGGAGGATGGATAACTGCTATGGTGAGCTAGGGGTCGGGGGCAGAATGTGAGAGCATCGTACGCCCAGCGCCACGTCCCTGAAGCGAGGCGTACTGGGAATGCCTATCCCACTGCAGACATGCCGCTATCACTGCGCATAATGCCACAAACACGCTTACCAGCAGCAAGAGGGGTTGAGAGAGAGAGCTGCAGCTATCACTGAGCCCCATGCCACACATTGTTTAACACTAAAACAATCTCACCTTCAGCAGCTTGGGTGTGGGCATCCCACGCGTTCGACGGACCGGTACGTCTACCATCGCTGGGCTTTCTGGCGCCACGCCTGGATCGAGGCCCCCTACAGATGGGCCGCTCGACAGAGACGCTAGAGGAGGAGGCCTAGATGGAGGGGTGCAGGGCTTGACAGGTCCTTCTGATCCTGGCCTTGCCTTGAGTGCAGCGATTTCGCGATCCCGCTGGGCAAGCTCTCGCATGAGCTGCTCCACAGTCCTGCCGCCAGCCACATCCGGCCGACTGGATGCGCCAGGTGTGCCCATGCTCTCTCCCCTCCCCTCCTTAGTCGCCGGATCCATTTTCTCGTCCCCCCCTTCTCCCCTGCTCTCCCGTACATCCCACATGCAGCCTTCCACACCGCCGCCACATTCACCCAAGGCATTCGCCCACACACCTCCTCCCACACCGTCATTCGCTGCTGCAGCTGCCGAGGGTTCGTGCCGCTTCGTTGCCCCCTCGTTTTTCACATGAACCGCGCGACCCCCCATATGGTTGGGGGGCGGGTCCGTTGCTTCCCTGCCAAACCGCGCTGACCCCCAAGCCATCGGATCTCCCTTCCCGGCCGAACCCATCGGATCGCGTAACGTAGCGTACGGGTCCGCGGCTTGCCGATCATGAGAGCTTGATGTACATCGTATCCCCATGGACTCGTAAAAATTCAACTCCCGCTTCGCCTTGCTACGCACACCCACAATTTTAGCTTCAAATCGAGGTCTCTGGCGCTTGCCATGTGGTTTGGCACGACGCACACTCTGTTTACAGCTCTTCACCCGTCCCCTCTCCGATTTTTGCTTAGCGTTGCCCTTCTTGAGCTTCCGCACACTCCTCCTCTTCAAAGGCCGAGCCTCCTCCCCATCCTTGCTCTCCGGCTCCAACTCCTCATCATCCTCGTCCTCCTCCTCCTCATCCTCGTCCTCGTATACCTCCTCACTCCCGGATGAGCTGCCCGACTCACTGTTGCTCGAATCTTCCTCGGAACCAGACGAGCTCGAAACGTGCACATTGGGGCCGTGCCGAGCTTGTCTCGCCTTATGGTCGCAACTGCCCGGATCCACAGCCTTGCGCCGTTGGTACGGAATCACAGCTTCACGTCCACCTTTCCCATCAGACACTGCTGCTGGCTCGTCCTCATCATGATCGTTAACGTCACGGCATGCAGGCACGGCATGATCCTTCTCGTCGCCACCATCCGCATCCTGCGACTGCCTGCCCGAGGGACCGCCCTTAGCCGCGGCAGCCCTGCCGCCGTTGCGCATGCCGCCACCACGAGCTTCCGGCTCGGCATGATCCTTCTCGTCGCCACCATCCGCATCCTGCGAGCCCGAGGGACTGCCCTTGGCCACGGCAGCCCTACCGCCGTTGCGCATGCCGCCACCACGAGCTTCCGGCTCGGCATGATCCCCCTCGTCGCCTCCATCCACATCCTGCGACGGCCTGCCCGAGGGATCGGCCTTAGCCGCGGCAGCCCTGCCGCCGTTGCGCATGCCGCCACCACGAGCTTCCGGCTCGGCATGATCCTTCTCGTCGCCACCATCCGCATCCTGCGACTGCCTGCCCGAGGGACCGCCCTTAGCCGCGGCAGCCCTGCCGCCGTTGCGCATGCCGCCACCACGAGCTTCCGGCTCGGGATGATCCTTCTCGTCGCCACCATCCGCATCCTGCGAGCCCGAGGGACCGCCCTTGGTTGCGGCAGCCCTGCCGCCGGTGCGCTTTCCGCCACCACGAGCTTCCGGCTCGGCATGATCCCCCTCGTCGCCTCCATCCGCATCCTGCGCCGGCCTGCCCGAGGGATCGGCCTTAGCCGCGGCAGCCCTGCCACCGTTGCGCTTTCCGCCACCACGGGTAGTGACCGGCTCGGCATGATCCCCCTCGTCGCCCCCATCCGCATCCTGCAAGCCCGAGGGACCGCCCTTGGCCGCGGCAGCCCTGCCGCCGTTGCGCTTTCCGCCACCACGAGCTTCCGGCTCGGCATGATCCCCCTCGTCGCCTCCATCCGCATCCTGCGCCGGCCTGCCCGAGGGATCGGCCTTAGCCGCGGCAGCCCTGCCGCCGTTGCGCTTTCCGCCACCACGGGTAGTGACCGGCTCGGCATGATCCCCCTCGTCACCCCCATCCGCATCCTGCGACTGCCTGCCCGAGGGACTGCCCTTGGCCGCGGCAGCCCTGCCGCCGTTGCGCTTTCCGCCACCACGAGCGCGTTGGCCTGCCGTCCCATCTGCGAAGGCGGACATTACAGGTACATAAGAAATACTGTGCACACATTATCTTATTGGCTGGAAGTTGCAGCATGACATGCGGCGTCATTGTAATGAGTAACGTGCAAAATATAAACCGTCGATATCACACCCACAGCGTACCTAAGCTGTCAGGTCCCCCGTCTTTGCCCTCCTCATCGCCTTCAGACGCAGGCGTTTCCTCACGATGTGAACGAGTGCCTCTTTTTCTTGGACGGTGCTTACGCCCCCCCCGGTTGTCACGCTTGTCCGCTGACGCTGATGTGGAAACACAATTGGAGAGACGATAACCTCCAACAGGTCAGACACGACTACAAGCATCGTTTCATGCATACAAGTAGAATATTCCGCATTTGCGACCATAAACACGTACCTTTCTGGCCGCCTTTGGGAACGAGACCATCTAAGCGCTTCACGCGCTTATCCCTTGGTTTCGGAGGGGATAATATGCCCTTGTTTGCGTATGGCTCAACATCGCAGTCGCTATTCGATTCGTCACCGGATGACGAGACACGTCTGGAATCAACAGCATCTCGCGCCGTCGACGCATTATTTTTGCGATACTCGTTTACGATCTCGGCCGTCTTATCTGCTGTTACTAACTCCGCAAAATTTGTTTCGTCGGGGGTTTTAGTCGAATCAGCCAGTACGATCGCCCCCTCGGGCCCCTTCATTATCTGACTTCCTTGTTACGATGTCTAGCTTTCCATTCACGCAGTACTATGAGGTTGCGGGTTGTGCTACCGCGAAGAACCTGACAGCAGTCTACGAGCATAAAAAATTGGTTGAGGAGGGAGAGGGACGAGGCAAAGTCTGGGGCCTAGAGCAGACGATCGTCACAGCTGGAGGCATGCAAGGGGAGCACGGAGGTGATGAGGGTTTGAGTGTTTCCTGCTATGGTGCACGTTGCGACTGCCAGGTCCCCCTTTTCCGCCAACAACCAATCGCCTGGTGGTTGAGGTGTATAAAGGAAAAAAATGCAGCACTGCCGTGTTAAGATTCCGTGGGACCTAACGTGCTTAATTGAGTATCAGTCCACAAGCGGCAGGGTGGGCTTCTTTTTGTTAAACCCGACAGTCAAATGCGCTACTGTATCTGGGTTTGCGAGGGTCATAATTATTCTGCCCGGGTTGTCGCACTGTTTACAATGAAGTGCCTCGCGTGCCACACAAACCTACACAAGCTGCACGTCAAGAGTCACATAGGGTCTGCGGAGAAACGGCAACGCTCGATCGCAGCAAGTCGTACAGCGATGCGACAGGTCGACACGAAGCCGTTGCGGCACGCCTGCGATAAAAACGCAGACTCAAAAGTTCCTTGTGTGTGGTTGCGACTGGTTCGCAAATCAGGGAGATTCGCGTACGTGGCATAGCGTGGAGTCGAGTGGAATGGCGCAGGGCGGGGCACGTAATGGCACATTAGTTTGCAAAGCCTCAATAGTGTGGTGTACGTATATGATAAAAATAGAATTAGAGGGTTATGGAGTTGTAAGGAAAATCTCATTTTCCTTACTTCGCATCCCTGCTCAACGCGTACATCACTGTAGCACCTCAGTCAGTACCGTTACCACTCGCATCGACAATCCGCCCGCCACTTTCGCACGTTGCACCCCGACCTCACGGCTCGGCGGTAACCCGCGCTCCGGACCTTCGCTTCGACATTTTCCCAACCTCAGTCCCAGGCCCGTCGCGCGACAACCACAGTCCATTACCGTTACCACTGTGGTTTCGCTATATAACCTTTCGCTCATACCTTCGCTCAGTTGTACTTTTTTCCCGATAGTGCAATCCTCGTTCGCTCACTCAATTGCACTCGTAACAGGAGTCCCCCTAACCCATTAGCATAGTGACAAGTATGCAACATAACAGTGTAAAACCAAACACCACCTTCACAGAACATGCACATAACGGTCTGTGGTGGAGCAGTCATTCTGATACATCGATTGATTAGTAAGTATGCATTATTTGATTGCTGCCTGGTCGTTATGCAACGCGTATGGGCATGTCTCCTCTCATGCCAATTGAGGTGCAATACTAATAGAGCCAGACACAAACTCCCCGTATGGGGCATGGCTGCTCTCATGCCATACAAGGCAACCTTTATGCAGGGACCCAAGAGCATGCTGTGTTGTATGTTCTAGGTTCATGCTGGAACGGAGTTGAGAAACCCCTGCTGTTCTACCCACTAGAGTTGTGGGGACATGCAGGTATGTTTTGCAGCATCACACTGACCCATTGTGTATTGTTTGTATACATGTCAAGCAGGAACGCCAGTGACAAACACTTCCCTATGGGTAGTGTTCTCTAGACATGGAGGACTGGTTGTGGCCAACACTCTCATTTGGCCACACTTGTTGTCAAGTCATGCAGGACTGATTCAAGGCCTCTCCATTGCGCTTTGTGTCATGTTTGTTGGCATATCAAGCTGGCAGGACGGATGAACAAACAATTCCCTATTGATCTTGTCCTCATTCCCCCATGCTACCCGCTTCCTTGTTCTTCACTCACACACTTATTCCTCCCACGTACCCGCCTCACTCCCTCCTGCTTCCCGCCTCATTACCTCTGCTTCCCGCCTTATGTCCCCTCGCTTCCGGCCTCATCCCCCCTTGCTACCCACCCCATTCCCCCTTGCTTCCCACCCCATTCTTCACTGCGACCGTCCTCATTCTCCCTTGATACCCTCCCCATTCCCCCTTGCTTCAGGCCTCATTCCCCCTTGCTTCGGGCCTCATACTCCCTTGCTACCTCCCTCATTCCCCCTTGCTTCAGAGCCGCGTCCCCCTTGCTTCCCGCCTCATTCTCCCTTGCTACCCCCCTCATTCCCTCTGCTTCCCGCCTCATGTCCCCTCGCTTCCGGCCTCATTCCCCCCTGCTACCCACCCCATTCCCCCTTGCTTCCCACCCCATTCTTCACTGCTACCCTCCTCATTCTCCCTTGATACCCTCCCCATTCCCCCTTGCTTCAGGCCTCATTCTCCCTTGCTTCAGGCCTCATTCCCCCTTGCTTCGGGCCTCATACTCCCTTGCTACCTCCCTCATTCCCCCTTGCTTCAGGCCCCAATCCCCCTTGCTTCCCGCCTCATTCTCCCTTGCTACCCCCCTCATTCCCCTTTGCTTCCCGCCTCATGTCCCCTCGCTTCCGGCCTCATCCCCCCTTGCTACCCACCCCATTCCCCCTTGCTTCCCACCCCATTCTTCACTGCTACCCTCCTCATTCTCCCTTGCTACCCTCCCCATTCCCCCTTGCTTCAGGCCTCATTCCCCCTTGCTTCGGGCCTCATACTCCCTTGCTACCTCCCTCATTCCCCCTTGCTTCAGAGCCGCGTCCCCCTTGCTTCCCGCCTCATTCTCCCTTGCAACCCCCCTCATTCCCTCTGCTTCCCGCCTCATGTCCCCTCGCTTCCGGCCTCATTCCCCCTTGCTACCCACCCCATTTCCCCTTGCTTCCCACCCCATTCTTCACTGCTACCCGCCTCATTCTCCCTTGCTTCAGGCCCCATTCCCCCTTGCTTCGGGCCTCATTCCCCCATGCTTCCCGCCTCATTCTCGCTTGCTACCCGCCCCATTACCAGCTTTTCACCGCCGCATGCCCCACCTCCAACCTCCAACATTGTTTTTGCCCAAAAATACACAGACCACTTCCTCAAATCGTGACGGTACTGACGGCGCCAATGGAGTGGCGTCCCTACAAGCTCACACGCCGGTAGTTTATGGAAACCATCCTCGACCAACGTGTGCATCACACGCATCGTGAACACACCACAGTCGTTCTCATTTGCCTGCATGGGTATCTGGACAATCACAGGGTGCGTGAGCGCGTGGTGAGGGCCAGGACGGGAGTGGGGTTTCGGTGTGGAAATTGCGTGCAGGGAAAGGGAGATGCGATTATTTCAAAGCTCGTACACACAAGGCAACAGCACTCACCGTGACCTGCCTTAGTGGGATGCTCGCCGCCCATGCATCTGCGTCCGACTCAGTGATCCATGCACAGTATCTTATCACCTCGTTTCGTAAGTACCTGCACACCGGGAGACATAGATTCAATGCTATCGTAACCCCGAACTTCTGTACGTGACAATAGCAGACTGCCATTAAAAAGAGAGTACCTTCGCAACGGGGCGTCGACACCGGCATGCGTGTCGTACGAGTCAGCGTGCCAGAGCACGCAGTTCATGGGAGTCGGGTCGTCGGGCCTCGGGATGCGCTCGATCACGATCAGGCTCTAGTGACTCCTAAGGCACACATGAGGTCTAACATCAGTAACGCCGACGTTAGACTACCGAAATACATATGGTGCTACGGCTAGACGCGACGACTACTCACTCGGTATTTATCGGAACGAGTACATATGTGAAATCGAAAATACCCAGGCCGAAAGTATAGGCGTTTACACGCCGCGAAATGTCCTTCTTAGCATATTCCCAGAAATATGATCCACTGTAAAGCCATTTGTTGCGGTCGCGACCGTGTTCGTACTGCAGCATCCTTCGCACGCGCGTATTTGCGACAAAGGAAACGCATGAGATAACCGTGACGAATCTGGCCTTATGATTTCCTAACCGTGATACTCACACACCGAGCCAATCAATTACGATCCCGCTGACCCATTCACCGGGTCGTAGCCTGTCGGCGTGTTCCACGTTTATGTCGAGCCAGCCTCCGCCGTAGGGAAAGGGCATAGAAATCGGCTCAAAGGCCAGCTTACCATCTAAACACGGTAGAGCCATGGCTAGGACTTTGATGACCTCAAGATGCGTGTGGCACTAGGGATAATTTGGGGGACGAGCACCGAACTGGAATTTGGGCTTCTGCAATCACGACACTATGAGTCAAGAGCAGCCGCGAAGGTTGTTACACTAGTCGTCAAATTTCGCTAAAGGGTTTCGAGCCAGCCTGGTCCAAACAAGTTTCGCAATCGCATGAGCGATCGAGATTCGCCAAAGCGCCCCCACTTGTCGGGGCTTTGGCAATGGTCAGTGTGGTTTAACCTGCTGA